ATTATGGGCATGACAGGGCTCTGCGCCGCCGTTTTCCAGCTGGCAAAGCCCCTCGAGACAAACATTTTGAGAGATGGGAGACCCGAGCAAATCTTCCGACTTTCTGGCGGCTGCACATGTTGGACATACGGGGCAGCGGAAATGTCGAGTTTGAGACGTTTTGATAAGGCCCACGCCAATCCTGCAAAAAGCGTCTTCCTGCTCTGAATGGCCCTGGAGTCATAACACTCCGAAGAGGCTTGAGACACGGGTTCCCGGTAAAGTCTTGTAACGCATGAACCAATGCCTGCAAGGATGTTCCTTCACCTGGTTGTGCTTTGATGAAATAGTACTCCAAAGATCCGCTGAACGACACAAGCTCACCATTGCGACTACTTGGGCTTGCCTCTAAACGAGAGCTGGAGCGAATCGCGGACTTTAGCGACTCCTCCGCAGCTTTTGCAGGATCAGCAAAACAATCATGAGTTTTTGGCAATGGCATCACAAAAAGCCCAGCTCCAGCACGATTTGTGATCCGCAACCTCTCTGTTTTCTTCTCGACATAGCGAATAATGGACTCCCTCCTCTCATCACCCAAGGCGTGATATCCAACTTTGACAAAAAGCGCATCATCTGCAGGTGTAAAAGAACAGTACAGCACATTCCTTCCTGGCATGTAAGCGCCAAGACGGGACATCGGCTGCCACTGCTTGAGAAGAAAATTAAAGAAGGTGCTGCCGCCAAGAGATAGGATGCGTCCTTGATTGCCCTCTGATTCTACAGGCAAGTTCAGCATGTAGGTGGCGTTTGCAGAGACCCGGACAAGCCTGCCATGTTGCAGAATTCTGGTGTCGCACAGCACTCCACCAGTCAGGTGCTCTGCCACAGCATTTGAAATCTCAACACGTCTTCTGGAAGAGCTTTTCAGCAGGTCTAGATGCACCAGGACTCCCTCCACTGAGAAGCTCAGCGACCCAGCTTCAATTTGTTCTGCCATCAGTGTTTTCTGAATTTTCCAAAAGGTTGAAGGGCGAAAAAGAGTAGCCCTCCAGCCTGGCGGAATGGGTCGGTTCGTCCCAGTGAATAAAGTTCTGTGGCTTGGAACTTCGGCGGGATGAGAACGAGTTTCGGCTGGAAAGTCATCATCATCATCATCATGATGTCCACACACTTCGGCCCCACTGCTAGTTTCAGGAACAGTTTTCATCACATCGCAACCAGCTGATTGATTCAACTCCACCACAGAGTCGCCCAACATGGATTCATTTGAACTCTCATCAATGCTCAAAAGGTCATCACTGGCGATGCATATAGCGTCCTCCTGCTTGGAGGAGAACAAGAACTTTGCAAGTGGAGACCTCCGGACCACCGCCTCGCCCAAAGACATTTGACCGTCTGTGTCTGTCTGTCTGTGTGTCCGTGTCTCTGTGTGTAACCTTTGGAGTCACAGGGTCACAGGGGGCCTGCTGGATCCTGCTGGCATGTTCACAAAGTGGCCTTTTTGAAGTCATCCTTCATTGAAAGGCTACTAGCTTGCAGAAATCGAGAAACTAGCGGCTACAATTGAAAACGCGCAATGAGTTTTCGTGGGCCGCTAAGGATTCGTGCAGTCAGCGGCCAACGAAGACATTGCACGTTTCTTGTGAATACGTACCTGCCGCTTTCAACTGTTGGCAAGCTGTCTACCAGATCGAAGCGAAGGTGAAAGAAGAAAAGAGAAAATAAAGGCGTCAGGATAAGGTGGAGTGATGAGGTGGCAAGCGGCCCCGAGCGTCTCGAGCCTGTGTGTCAGCAACTGCCGGAGAGGAAGAAGAAAGAGGAAGGAAGAAAGAAAAGGATCGGATCCGCGCCCCCGATTGATCCTACGCGAATCACGCGCATGCTTTCATCTTTCTTCAGTGTGGCTCTTCTTTCATCGGCAACAGCGCACCTTCTTTTGTCTGTCTCGCCTTTCTCATCGTTCGTTTGTCTTTTTGGTGTGCGCATGCACTTTCACAACCCCCTTTCCAGGCAGGATGGAGGCCGAACACCCGATGACCTTAAGGATGTGGCACCGTAAAGCCTTAGAAGATTACCTCCCCTCAGGAGGCATTGGTAGATATTTCTCCGAGATGGCACGGTGGCCAAGCCACAAACCACCCTTCTCTACGGAACCTTTCCTAGGATTTTCCTTGGTCTACTCAGGCACCCTTCTCACTCAGGCCTCTTCAGGAGTCTAAGCGGGGGGCCGCTGAGGATTCGTGCAATCAGCGGCCAACGAAGACGCTGAACGTTTCCTGTGCAAACGTACCTGCTGGCTTCACCCGCGTTTTGAACTGTTGAAGAAGCTGTTCAGCTGTTCACCCTACTTTTCCGTAAAGTGCTAACGAGTGTGTTCAACATTTCTGTTCCTCGGACTTTTTGCCTTACTGTTCTGCAAGTCAAGGTCTAATCTTCAGTATCGTAAAGTGCTAGCATCACCGGACAATCACAATTGATTACGCTCTTGCGAGCCTAATACTAAGTGTAGGTGGGCGGGTGGGTGGGTGGGTGGCACGATTGAGCGACACTGCTTCAGAACCCAATCTATTGAACCATGTCCCTTCCATCACTGCCTGCAGCTGGATGCCTTGCAGCAGCCGGCCAAGTGTACAGAATAGCTTTGAAGCCATGAATTGGGGCATCGAAATGTGGAAATTAGTGTCTTCATGGGTTTTTGTCTCGTTTTGAGTGTGGTTGAGGTGTGACGCTCAAAGCCTGACAATGTCTATGAGTCTATATAATGTTCTGCTGTTAATTTGCCCGTTCTTCACACACAATACTAGGCGCTCAAGCCACATGAGAGCTGCAAAAAAGTTTTAGCATTCAAGGAAGCAAAGACAATGAAATCAAATGAGATCATGCCACGAAGCCACTGGCTCTTTTCCACTGGCTCTTCGTGTCCCCAAGATTCGCACAAGCACTGGAAGCTCTCAGCAACTTCGGCTTTCGCATTGGAATCAAACAAGGCCAGCGTCGTTGGGACCGCAAAAAGCGGCCAAGCTTTCTCAGTTTTGAAAGCTAAACCGTTTGTAAAAGCACGCCGTGTTGAAGCAGAAAAAGCTCTTCGGAACTGACACCCTAGCAACTGATCCAATGCATCGCTGTCCTGCGGAAGACTTTGCTTCCCTTCCATCAACTTATGTTGAGCAAGCCCCGGTAGCACCAGGAAAATGCAGAGGGATCTACCTTCTGATTGTGCCATCTCCAATGCATTCAGAAGCTTGCTTGCAAGACGCAAGACGACTCCTCGAACAAAAGGCGGATTAACTTCATACGTCCCTCCGAGCTTGCCGATGTCCATTTCTTCGTCCAAGAAAGGCCCTAAGGAGCCGAAAAGAACGTCCAAATCTTTGAAAGCAGAACAGTAATTCCATGCTCCACGGACTCCATTGCACAGCTGTGGAGATGCAAAGCACTCCACCTTTACAGACTTCATAAATACATCACCGATGTCACCCATACTATCCAAGGCATCAAATGTTGCAGCCGGAATAGCTGCATGAAATCCGCCACCTTCTTTGTGACCAGGACCACACATTGCATCGTAACGACACAGGAGGCAAAAGGTTATGTCCCAAAAGCTGGTTTCCTTCTGCATAAATGCTCTGAACTTGGCCGCCCAGGATGCACCTCGCAGCAAATGAATCCAGATCAGCAGCAAAACTTGTTCTTTTAATGGCCAAAACCTTTCGATGCTGGTGCTGCAAGACTAGAAAAAACCAGCTTCTACCTTCTTATACCTTCTTGGTCTGCACCTGAATTCGCCAGCTGCTCAGCCCGTTTGGTGGCTCGGCGCATGAGCTTCCTGGCAAATAGCACTTCAACACTTGATGAAGACATGCAAAGGATGACATCGACTCGCATGATCAATCTCTTTGCCAAACTCAGCGCAGGTTTGCACAGTCGCATGTTTTGCGAGACAAGCATGTCAAGTCCTCAGACTCCAAGATCAAGGAGGTAGCAACTTCGGCCAGTCATGGCGCGGTCTCTCTGGAGCCCTTGACTTCTTCGCAAGATCTGTGTTAATAAAGCTACTCACAAAAGCAGTGTAGTTGCCCAAATTCACCACTCCATGATGCCAGTTGTCCGGAAAGTACAGGATCTCGCCAGGATGAACCACACATTCCAGCATGTTCTTGAGGAGATGTCTTTCTTCTAACAGTGGCTTCTGCTCCAAATACCAATGAATTTGAGACATCGACGCGTTGAACTGCATCACTTTCTCAATCTCATCAATGGCTTTTTTGTCGCTGGGAGGAAGAAAGGAAAAGTGCTTAGCTCCATGAAACACCTCAACAAAGGCCGAGTTATGAAAGTGCCATGGAGCTCCAGAGTACATGCCACCCAAACCAATGGTCACAGCTGCAGAATCACGAGAGCAAACCTCGCATGGAGGAAGCACATACTCATCCCGAAGCGGTGCCCATTGGTCTCCGAATTCCCCAAACACATAGCGGTTTTCCTCCGCATTTCTGCTGACAGGCTTTGGCAGCCACTCAGTCAGGTACTCTGCCAAAGTCATCTCGAAGTTGCCAATTCGTTTGCTTCCAGCTTGAGACGGCGTGCATGTGACATTTGCCATGGACTGCAGGAGTTTATCCCTTTCCAAGTTCTTGGCAGTGACTTGGTTCCACCAAGGCGGAGACTGCACAATGTATGGTTCCGCGCCCAATGGAAGGTCATTTGAGTTTCTCGGCCAAGGAATCCGAGCAATTGTGCACCTGCTCCAAGTGAACTCTGATGTTTCAGCTTCGGGTCTTGCATTGGCATACGAGCAACCTCTTCTATCTAAAGCTGTGCAGCTTTCGTGTTGATTGTGATTATGCACGTGTCCCCGTGCAGCTTCCCAGGACAATGCATATGTCAAAACCACCAGCAGCATCCCACACAAAATGCCATCAGTCCCATGGTCCCATGACGAACACATTCCATCAACTCAAATCTCTAAAATTCAAACTTCCCAAGTAAACAGTAAACACAAATCATGACACGTGTCATGCTTGTTTACGTATATTACAAACGGTTTGAAAGGTGCTGGTGTAGGAAAGTGTTCCAGCCAGCCTGCGAGCCGATTTTGCGGCAAAAGAAGCTCATGACCACAAATCTGTAGAAATGCAAAGCCTAAACTAGCTCCACTACTGTATGAAATATTGTCGAGCAGCTTGTGCTGAAAAGGAAGGTTTTCCAAAAGGGCCGCGGCAAGGCCACGAGACAAAAATGGAAGAAAGGCCAATGTGCAAACGTCCTCTGTGCAGAGGGGAGCATGGAATTATTTGTGCAGTCCACACTTGCAGATCTGAAAACCAGGACCCCTTGTAGCTTTCGGAATAATTTGAGTCGAGGTGCGCTCTTAATCTACAGGACCTTTGTCCGAGCCAAAGGAGCCAAGGCTAGTCTACAGGACCTTTGTAGCTGGAAGAGTGTAGATCGTGTGGCGAGGATTCCTTGGTGGCGAGGATTCCTTGAGAGGCTTTAATGAGGATTCTTGTTGTTTGGTTGTTTCTTTCCTTTTGTATTTATTTAAAGCCCACCCTTGCTTTATTGAGCAGGCACCTATTTAATTAAGTAAGGTACTGGACGCTCTTAGCTACTTAAGCTATCACATACAGCTCACACTTGCACTAATCATTTGATGCCCCGCTGCAATATGCGTCTTTTGCAATCCTTTCGCGAGCTTTCTTGAAGCTTTCACAAAGTTTTGCCGCTTGTCTGCGTTAAAATCCATTACCATCCACTATATGAGTACCATCCGCAAAGTGCTAGACTCTAGACTCTAGACTCAACCAGTTCCAACAAAACACTAACAAATACAAAGGTCGTATATGTGATATCTGTGATATATCATGATTCTGATAGTATATAATACACTATACATCCATCTAACGTAAAGTTGTGTTTCACCAAATGTTCGCTTCTCTTACGCCAATTCATGGCTCAATGCTGTGCGGATTTGAACATGAGCCTGTCCCAGAAATGCGCATTGCTTGAAAGAGGTGCCCGATGGTCCGATGGTTTTCTAGGAAGGTGTGTTCCACGGGTTTTCCGCTGTCCAATCAAGAAATAGCATCGCGTTGGCAAGCTCTTCCCCCAAACTGCCAGACAAAGCCCAGGGCATCTAAACATGGAAGGGGTGCGCCAATCGAGCAAGAGCGGAGGGGCTCAAAGTGAAGACGGCATGCTCTTCTTCAGGTTCCACATTCGGGCCTGCCTCTCTATCACCTTCATCTGATAGTGAGAAAATGTAGCAGCCTCTATTCGCGTTCAATGTAGCTAATACCTGCTGAGTTTCTTCGATTGAGAGAGAGTTCATCCGCTCTGCTGCTGCATCAGCTTCTCTTTCAAGCTCTGAGCAGATTGCATCAATTTTGTTTGCAAAGCTTTCAGGCAGTTCTTTCTCCTGCAGAAACGGTTCGCGTAGATCGTAATACAGGCCCTCTGCAGCAGCATTCAAGGACGGACGAGCATCAGAAGTGGTGGGTAAATGACCACCGAGAAGTGGATCAATTCCACCTCCATTTATTCGTTCCATCAACCAGCGATTGAACGCCTCCCTCCGTAAGGTTGTAGATTTCATCAACGAATGCGCATTCGATGCTTGCATAATCTTTATCAAATCTTCATATCTGTTGCTCAGAAGCTCTCGCAAGCGTAGCACCTCTAGCCGCCGTTTCACTTCCACAATTGGCTGGGGGGGGACCCCCTCGCTCAAATAGAGATTGAATACGCTTCAACCACAATCTCTGCAGTGTCGTACGTGGTTCTGGTTCTTCTCTTTCGGGTGTCCGAATCCTTCTTCGTTTTACATCACTTTCAGTCTCATCCATTGGTCCCACTGTCCTGCTATTGCTGCCCCTTTAACCTTGCGGTTGCATTCAGAGCCACAAGATTGGCTTTATATAGCTCACATCAACAGCCTTGTCAGCACGACCAATCCTATCCCCATGCTTTGCAAGCAGCCCAAATAGCACGCTTTTTGTTTCTCGCGAACCCCTTTGGGGCAAGTTTTTGGTTTATATATGTTTTGCGCATAACGCATCAAAGCAAACACTAAATAAGTGAGTGCTCAGCACGGCAACTTTTGTACACCTCCGGGAAATCTATAGACACCCGAGTTTAAATCTGAACAGCCCTTTTCCAATGCTGAAGCTTTGGCTTTGCCAACCTAGTGGAAGGACTGCGCACGAAGTCAACTGTAACTCATGTCGGCGCAGCCAAGACACTTAACCGACAGTTTGCCTTTTCGAAGCTTCCATGATGTCCTCTCAGGCCTGAGTTGAGTGATAAACGTCTCAAGCCATGGGTAGTTTGCTTCAAACCTTGGCTGGCCTGTTAAAACACTACCCTAATCATCTACAGCATGCCCCAAACGGTTGCAGAAGCTTCATAAACCGAAAAAGCGAAAGAAACATACAGGAAACTGTTGCCAAGTGCGAATGATGTGATCTGTGGTGATATTGTGACTGACATGACACTCAATGATTTCGGGGTGGCGCAGTGCAATCTGATGAAGTAATGTCTGGCGATTCGTGATGTGGCAAATGTAAAGTGGCGATATTATGTTGGGCCATGTGTGACACTTGAAATGGTGTCCCATTGCAGCGTCACACTGTGGCTGCGTGAACGCACTGAATGCGTCGGATGGGTGAAGGAGTTGTCCGTCTTGATGCAGAGGTAGCTTTTGGGCTGTGCGACAACAAATTTCATCAAATTTCTGTCATGGAAACACTGCACTTTGTGTGTCACCTCACTTTCAAGAGCCACAACCCCATACAGCCTAGCACTTCAAGCATACACCTGCAACTTGCCTCATCAACGGTTCCCCGTCACGCCAAGCTACCTAATAATCTAGAATCTAGAAACCATGACCATGCAAAGGGTTCTTCAAGGATGCTTCTGCCCCAGAACCTGTTTGAAGATTGATCCACTCTAGCACACAAAGCTGCACTGGAGTTGACTTATTGCGGTGACGTCCACCAAAGCGCGCCGCTTCAGAGTAAAGTCCGGCACGTGTGAGGTTGAAACCTGGTTGATCCTGCCAGTAGTCATATACTGTTTGTCTCAAAGATTCAATAAGATTAAGCCATGCATTCTCAAAGCGAAATTGCAAATGGCTCATTAAAGCAGTTGCAGTTGTAGTTTATTCGATGATCCCCTATCCAATTGCCCTATCTTTTCGAACAACCTTAGTATTGCTGATGTTGTTCTCTCCATGTGTCTTTCTGTAGCTCGGAATGTTTCTTCCTGCGATCGCTCAGCGTGTTGCCGAACTCTGAGGTTCAGACTCAACCTGGGCAAATCAAAAGAAAAAGTGCAACAAAGCTGAAACTGCAATTACCTGGATCTACCCATTCATGTGTGCCAGGGAGGTTTCGTTTGGAGCCAAGGAACAGTGTGGCAAAGCGGAGCCAGCCGCAGGGTCCAATCTGCAGAGGTGCTGGCCTAGGGATGTACAGCTTTGTAGGAATCTTACACGAAGACTCAATGCTTTCCATCCGTCCATCCCTCCCTCCCTCCATCCCTCCCTCCCTCCATCCATCCATCCATCCATCATCATCACGCTTATTCCTGGGCCACAAAGCAGGTTTCAAGTCTATATACTCAACGGTTCGATGGGTGGGTGGGTGGGTGGGTGGGTGGGTGGGTGGGTGCCAATGGCTTTAAGATGCTTTAAGAGACTATGCCCCGCACAGCTTTCATGGTGGGAACACCATGCAAAATCACCACGAGCTCTTTGTCCTTGCTCAAGACCTTTGGACATTCAGAATTGTCATGCAAAAGACTGAATACTAGGATAGAAAACTCAGTCTCTGCCTCTATTTGCTCTTCCTTGACATGCTCTGAAGCACCTTGGTAGAGGTCCTGCCCACAGTACTTGTCAAGTGTCAAGGGCGATGAGCAATTGATGATATTGAAGAGACTTTTGCATCATGCACAGTCTGCCTTGTCGGCGTCAACTGTGATAGTAGCAGTGTCAAGCAAATCTGCAAATGTGTAGTGCTCTATGGTCTTCTGGAGGCCCCCATCCTGAACAACGTAAATCTGCTGATTGGTATGCAGGACAAGCGGCAAACAAAGCAGTCTCAAACCATGCAAGAAGTTCTCGTGATTTCTTTCCAGCGAGCCGAGCCTTTTTCACCGCCGGCATTTGAGATCTCTCAAGCTCCGCCAGTACTTGCAACCTCTCGGAGGAGGACCACATAACAAAGTAGACTGTGTACTCCATTGATCATCACCTTGCAGACTAACTAGCGCTCGTATCGCCTTGCTTGCTCTTCAGGGCTTAGTTGAGGTTCTGGCTCTACCTTGCCAGCAAGTTCTCAACAAACACGTATGAACAATCTGATCAATCCATTGAACAAATTGAACATGAATCAGTACCAAGACCTGTGCCACGAGCCCCCCTTCTGCTTCAGGTGGCTTCTCCCTGTCGTGTGGAGAACTACTGCGATCAAGTCTCTGTCGTGCTTGGCTGGAAATCTGTAGGCTCCGCACAGCACTCCGCTCGACGCTCAGCCCCTTTTTGCTCCGTCCCTGTCTTGCTGCTGCGTCGGTCTCGGGAGTTGAAAGTCGTCACAAAGCCGCAATTCTCCGAAGGCAACGTTGCACTTGACTCGTCGGAGCTCGTCGGAGCCCTTGACGAGGAGCAAGAACGCTACTATTGACTCTGTCTCCCTTGGCTCAAAGTTCCAAGCGGCCGAGAGCATCGCTTCAACGCTTCGATTGTCTTTTGTCAGCGTGGACAATGGAGTACTCAATCTGCTGGACTGGAATGTCAACGAATCTTACACTGGCAATCCCAAAGCATGGCGCAGTAGTTGGCCTTGCAATATGGATGAGCACTGCGTCAAGAAGGCTTGCGAAAGTGGCTGTGAAGACTGAGGAACCTGCTCAGAACTGCAGGACCTCCCAATATCTGCTCCTCCGACCTGTCATGTCTTTTTTTTGTTTACCCCAGGGGGGTGGGCCGTAGAGGAAGGAGGTAGTAGGTAGGTAGCTAGTAGGGCGAGGTAGCTAGCAGCTAACAAGTAAGCTACTACCTTGGACGCACGATGGCTCACGCTCACACGAATGATTTGGTTTCTAGATTTTTAGAGAAACTTAACAAAACTAGTATATAACTGCCAACACGTTCTCGATGATGGAAGGCCCAACATGGTTTAAATAAGCACGAGGAGCAGTTGGCCCAATTCATCTCCGTACTTGGCATTGTTCAGAATCAGCACGTGGGCACCTCTAGTGAATTGAAGCAAATCAAAACTATATAGAGCAGTGCCGCCACTGGTAGTCATGGTGCATGCAATGTCCCTGGATCACAAGTCAATTGCAGCCACTAGCTGGTTGCTTGAGAATGTGTTTTCCACTGGCAACAAGTGCAGTAAGCAGCATCTTGCCATGAGAGTTGGAGCCTAATGCCATGGAGCTCTGCACATCGTTGTGAATTCACTGGGGTCGCAGGTAGTGCAAGCATGGCACTCAATTGTGCTTCTAGTACTTCTCGAAAAGGTTGGACGGCCCACAACTCTTCCTGGCTTGAACAAATCAAAGAATCTGTGCAAAATCGTCAAAGTATATTACTCACATTTACTCACTGTCTTTTATCCATGCTTTCAGCAAACACTTGTTTTGATGCAGCTGCTGCGCTTGATATGCTTGATTAAATTGTTAGTCCTTCTCGGGATTCTTTGCGATCAGTGCCTGCAGAAATCAATCAAGCAGCACCTTGCCAAGGTGTACATCAACCAGCACCTTGCTGACGCGCTGGCTGTGAACCAGGGTAACCGGAACGAACACGTCTCTCAGGATTTCCTCAAGGGAGCCATGTGGATAAAAATATGAGTGCAGTGCTGCCCACACCCGTGGGTTTGTGGGCGTGAGTTTAGCCATGTGCAATCCCGGAAGAGTGTCAGTAAACTTTCTACAACTGTTGGAGCAACTACATGATTGATGCTCATGTTGCACAAACCGCTCACTTCCATGTCCCTTCAGCCGCGACAGAAAAAGAATAATGACAGAATGAAAAGGAAAAGGCAGACAAACAGACAGACAGACAGACAGACAGACACAGACAAGCAAATAGACAACCAAACAGACAAACAAACAGACAAACAAAACAGACAAACAAACAGACAAACTAGAAACAAGTAAAAATGTCAAATGCCATATGATTGAATAAAAATGGAAGCCCGCAGCAGTGCTCAAGCCTGTGGGGCTGTACATGATTCAGCAACAAGGTTGCACAGGATTTCCAACCACACAAATCGAGCTTAAGGGTGTTACAGGGTTTCAACTCTTCGCGTTTGCCCAGCTGGATCGCCCATAGACAATGCCAGCATCTGCTCATTTTTTAGTGGAAGGAAGCTTAGCAGCTTGGCAGACTGAATCCAGAAACCAGGAGGCTCCCCTGCTTCCCCGTAGGTTCTCGGCTTAGGAGGGTTTCACAAGCATTTCACTTCACCTACTTCCTTTCCAGAGCTAATGACCGACCTCAACTGTTCGTGGCCCACCGCGTCATTCTCATGTTACGATCTGATCGGATGCTGTCCTGCCAGTAGAACACATCCGTCCTGAGTTGCTAGCACGACGCACGGTTCAAATCAATGACAATTGCATTCAAGCCAGGGCTCCTTTGGGTCAAGATCGCTGGAAGCTTCTCCTCAAGTCTCCCATGCAAGGCATTGAACCTCAAGCATAAATGAAGCTGCAACACCGCTGAGGACTGGAGCTTTGCTTTTGATGAGTTCCATTTGGTGGTTCTGAGGGTCTTGCCAAAGCTCTGTCAAGGGAGAGTGTGGACGGAAAGGGCCCATGTCCTGTCAACCACCAGGTGCTGAAAAAAGAGGAATAATGAGAGGTGTTGCTGTTGCCGGATTCTCCAATCATGCAAAGGGCGCCGAGACTCCTATCAATTCACCCCACTGCGCTCCATCATATCCTTACAACTTGCTCAAAGCCACTCACCCTCCAGGAAAGCAACTATATAACGAGGGTGTGTGTGTGTGTGGCTTGAGCAGGTCGATTTGAGCTGAACCAGCAAAAAGGATCAAAGAGATAAAGAGATTGAAATCGAACTACAAAGATGTAATACTGCGTTATACTCCAATGAATTATATAAATAAAGTCGTGGTAAACTCACACTCTCTGTAAATGTATCAGTGGGGAACGGGCATGCTTGTTCCCCAAGTGTTTGATAACTTGATGCCAAGAGGCCAACTGCATCACACTGGTTGCTTTCAAGCAAGTCATACAGACCTTCAAGGCTGCGAAGGCATATTGTGTCGACCTCACCACGTTGGCTCTGCAAGATATTTTTCAGCCCAAAATGGTGTGTGTGTGTGTTACATACAGAATACCTGAGCGCAAGACATCAAGATAGACTCCGCCATAATTGTGAAGCAGGTAACAACCTGCCAAGGGTGCACGTACAGGCGATTGCCGCCGATCACAAGACGTTTGTCCGAACAAGCCAAGTGACGCAAGTAGTCTGCTCTATGTGCAAGGTGTAAGTATGGGTAAGCTGGATGTGGATCTGGCACATATTCAGCAACCTCGAACATCTTTCACAGCAATTTCACAGGCGTCGTTCGCATGTTCAAAAGAGACAGCAGGAGTTTCAAGCGAGCTGCATTCTGTGGAGTGATGAGGATCACAGGCCTGAGCTGCTCTGTTATAGGATCAGCTGATCAGCTAAGTATCTGGGAACTGCTGGGATCTGGACAAGCCCGCGTTTCTTCTCACTGTTTGAAGACAGAGTTCTAGGTGTGGTGGCCTCAAGGAGGCTTGCAAGGCCTCTAGGTGTGGTCGTATCTAAAGACGGGTGGCCTGAAAAAATTCATAAAAGGAACTTGGCCTACTGCATTGGATTGTTGCCTGTCCAGCACATCCACACAACACCTGCAGTTGTCAAAAGAACTATGAACTTCACATGCTGCGTACGTCCGAGCTGTGCATCACGCAAACGAGCTCAGTAGGTTACGATGTAGCTTTCCTTTGTCCAATCTCGGCCTTGGAGGTGGAACTTCTTGATGCTATTGTGTTTGTCTTATTGTGTCTAGTTGTTCTGTATTTTGTTAGTTTCCTCTCGTGATAGTAGCTATTAAGTACTGGACACTCCTAGGTAGGACGCAGGATAGCTCACGCTCACACTATATATTGAACCCTAGATGTTTATATAATTTATATAGGTAAAGTAAACTAAACGCCATTGACTTGATATGATGGTTCCTTGCTTGTCTTGTTCCAGGGCTCAGACTTTCCACCAGTAGCACCATGGATGGCAGGTCCACCTGCTATTATTCAATGCTCGGCAAGACTTGGTGCACTTAGGGAGATTCAGGAAAAAAAGCAAACTTTTAAAAAAAAAAAAAAACACGATCTGTCTTTGATATCTTGAAGCACGCAGTTTGCCTGTGGCATCCCAAACAGGCTTCGGACCAATGGACATCGGCACCTCTGGAAGACTTCAAGAACACCCAGCAAAGCAACGGATAATTTTAAAACAAACACGTACTACACTGGTGCACGAACCGACGCAAAAGCTGTCAACAACATAGGAGTGAAGTGACCCTCCAATGAAGCAGAACTGAAAGAACATCAGCAAAATCGTTGTACCAGGACAAGTCTAATGTCTCATCATTTCAAATCATCGCTACATATCCAGAAGCCTAGTACTTTTGCTCAAAGTTGAAAGGGATTTGCAATAATATCTGAAGCATTTGCGTGCGTTGATGCAAAACCAGCGAACCGTTCCCTTCCTGAACCTTGGTTGATCTGGTCCATCAGTACTTTAAGTGTTTGAAGAGAATCTATCTAGATCCTTGATCCTTGAGTATTGTCATTCTCAAGAAGGCCTGTCCCAAGCATCCAGGTGCTCATGAATTGTCTTGTGTCTAGTGTACGTCCCTTTGTGACTTCCAACAGCAAGTTCTGAAGCCATGCTGCTGAAGTTCTTAGACGGCGCTGCAGCGCTGTGCCAGCCTCAAGAACAGATATGCACACAGCCAGGAGCCCCTATTAGCATCCTTGTTACTAGTAGCAAGGCCAGGAGTGCCCCTAGTAGCTTATTTTTCCTAGTAGCGATGCCCTTTGCTCCTAGTAGCTTCTTGCTCCTAGTAGTAAGCAACTGTCTTCATCTGCCTGGATCTAAGTTGCGTGCACCGAGCATGGCCACAAAGGCATTTACATGCGGTCCAAACCAACGTTGTCCCTGCGGAGATGGCCACTGGGGTCTTGGCCACTGGGGTCTCCCTTTTTCACACCACGTTGACTCAACCAAATATGATCTCAGCTTTGTCAACTTCACTCTGAGGTCCCTCGCAATGGCAGGGATAGGTGCCCGAAAAGCAAATGGGCACTGTGTCCGCCTCAACTCAAGAAAGTGCGGAAAAATATTGGTGAACGCTCAAGACTTGATAACTTCGAGAAAGGAACGACTGGAGGCCAAGAGGCCGAAGATGTTGAAGTCGCTGAGCATGTCCAGCAGGAGCTACCGACCCTATCAAGCCATGCATTCCTGAGCGAGTTTTGTTTGGTGTACAGCAAGAGTCAAGGCCAGGGAAGTGTTGCTTTTTATACCCCGTTGTACTGGCGTCCGGGGTCAGTACCGGATAATTTCCAGGGACTGACGGGTTTTTAGCCAAAACCGGTGGATAAATTTGAAGGCCAGAGGGCCAACATAAGGCCCAAATAAAAAAAATACACAACCAGTGCAGATAGATAATTTTGAGAAGGCCTGAGGCTAGCAAGCTAGACGAATAGGATCGAGGACCCCCCCCCGCAAAAAAGTAGATGCTAATCGACAAACGAGACAAAAAGAAAAGATCCCAGGCCCAGGTTTTTTCCAACGCTCTATGTGCTCTGTGGTGGTCTGCAAAACTAAGGATTGTTGCGGAGGTCTGCAAACCTTAGAAGGTTGGTTGTGGTTGTAGTTGAGGTTGGCTTTGAATCAATGGATCCAACCACTTGCAAAAGAATGTCGATTGCATGGCCCGCAGTGCTGGTCGAACTGTACATTTTGGTCGGTATTTTGTGGCCTTGACAGCCACTCTGGACTTAGGAACGCCAGCAGGAGTTTATCAGGGTTACGATGCCCAGAGCGACTGGGAAGCAGCTTCTTTGTTGAACGGAACTTCTGCATTGAAATTGTTTTGTCCAGATGTCAGCGCACCTTTTTTTCTATATTCGCTGCCGTTGAGCAATGTTGTTAGAAGGCTCTCCAGACCTAGCAGAAGCAGCAGAAGAAGATTAATTTCAGCGTCTCCCACAACTTGTCATTTGTATATCTCCCCAACCTCAGTACCAAGGAAAATACCAAGGTTGTTTTTAGGACGCACATGTTTCAGAACGTGTCCTTTTCACAGGCTGCGAATCTCATGGAAGACCTGGTGCAGGATCCCGATGAGGAAGACTATAACATGAACCTGGATGAGTATGAGGCCCCACCACTATTTTTCAGACTCCTCATGTCGAAACACAGGGTCCCACTGAGAATGATCCAGAGCTGAAAGGCGCTGACCAAGAGTGCTTCCAGCTGTTGGAGCCGTTGAAAGCCCGCGGTGACTGATGCTTTGACGTTCCGTTGGCAAGTTTCGCTGACAATTTTTTGGTTCTCTGTGATCATGACGTCCATGGAGCTCGGAAAATCTAACGAGCGGAAACCTAACGAACGTCCAACGAGCGATGTTCTATCTTTTCTTTCCTTTTCTACTCCCACTACCGAGTGGATAAAATTGGAGCGTCTATTCTGGATATTTTTGATGCACTGACCCCATTTTATCCACCCCCCCAAAAAATATCCACTCCTTACTTGGGTTGATTTTTTTTGGAGGACAGACCCCCTGGATAGGTTGCTGGCAGGCTGGCACACAGATAAAGTCCAGGCACTGACCCCTCCAATTTTATCCACTCAGTACGGCCCCCTATGCTTCTTCGGCAAAAACATCGGTGAGATGATGTTCACCCTGCTCACCGCCTGCTCACCGTCTGTTCACCGTATTCACCCCCTCCGGCCACGCCTTGGGAACTTGGAGGCGCTGGCTCTCTCTATCGTGGAAGAACGCTGAGGCGTCTTGTAAGTTGCAGGAGAGGGTAGTTCAGGCCAAAACTTAGGACCTTCAAAAAGGGGGAGGAACAGGAAGAAAGTCCAAGTAGAAGAAGTGCCACTGTTCTCGATTGAATGAGTTCCATGTCTTGCATGTGACAACATGTCGTTGCATGTCGCCATGTGTCGCTGCTTGCTATTGCCTTTTCCTGGGCCATTGTCAGAATGCCGCGCCAAAATGCATTCTTGGGCCTACTGCAATGCAACTTTGCAGCCACCGTGCCTCTGCGCTGGGTCTGAAGCTGGGGAACCTGGGTAACCACCAGCGACTTCGGTATCCTCAGCACCCTCCGCAATCACCTGCACGCTTAGTTCAAGACGTGTCTTAGGCTGAAAAGCCGTTGTTTTCCATGCCATCGTGCTGTCACCATCATAGTCAAGATTAGATACATACATATATATATATATACACACAGTACATGAGAAGGGAGGGGACGAAAGCCAGCCTCTGGGTTACAGGTGCCCTCAGGGCAAGCCTGGCCAAAGATTTGGTGTGCAAGATGAAGTGATTGGGTAACATCGGGCAAAGAGTACTTTTATGGGGTGAAGTTGACATCGCAGCCACACTGATAGGGGGTAGAAATAGAAAGTGAAATACACAGGTTTGGGGTGGGGGGTGCCCTTTTTCGTCCCGGTTCAGGTGCGCTTTGGAGGTGAAAAAGGGCGCCCCTAAGGAAGTAAGGGGCGCTTGCCTGCGGCGTGTTGCGAATCAGTGAGCAACACGGCTGTGGGGGTCCATGTGCGAGGCTATGGGCAGGGTTGGTGAGGATACATATATGTCTATAGGATATGTCTATAGGTAGAGTGGACAAAGAGTAGCCGGTAGTGGTGAGGTTGATATTGGAGCGACTTGAGTGTGCAAGATGAAGTGATAGGCTAACATCGCGTAAAGAATACTTATATGGGGTGAAGTTGGCATCGCAGGTACGCGATAGGAGGTAGAAAAAGAAGGTAGCATTAAAAGGGGGGTGCCCTTTTTCGTCCTGGTTCAGGAGTGTTTTGGAGGTGAAAAGGGCGCTATGAGTTTGCCGGCTGCGTGTTGCTAGTCAGTGAGCAAAGATGGTCGTGGGGGGATTTGTGGGCAAGGCTATCGGCAGGCTTTCGTGAGGATATATATATATATGTATATATAGGTAGAGTGGACAAAGATGAGCTGGAAGTGGTGAAGTGGATATGGCCGTCATTTCAAAAGAATGGAAATAGACAGTAGAATACATCGGTTTGGGACGGGGTGCCCTTTTGCGCCTTGATGTCGAGGCGTTGTGGAGGGAAAAAGGGCACCCCCGTAGTGCGGGGAAGGTTTGGTATGGTGTGTTGGTCTATTTTTCAAGTGAGTTGACAGCTGGCTTTCGTGATTAGATGTCCCCTTGTTCTCATTTAAGCTTTGAATGTAGTTTGGAGCAAGTGCTATGGTTTCCTGCAACAGCTGGCCACTTCAAATGGCCCCAAACTGCCAACCTCTGTGGTATGGATGCCACGTTCAGTCTCACAAGTACGAAATAGTTCAATAATTGCACAAGATTGCACATGTGACTGTTGCAGCAAGGAGATGCTGATTGCTTAGTTTGGTTTGTCATCACCGGGTGTGTTGTTACACCGAACAGCGTTGTCTAAGCCATCATGGTCAGTGCACTTCCATAGCACGACCAGCGTGACGATGGTCCATGTCCACGTTTCACAGTGGTACGTCACAACGTGCTGCTCGAATGTGGAGCGTGCATTTTCCCGACCTTTTGTCCACCCCAATCCACGTGAACTCCCACCGCATAGGGGGTGCCCTCTTCAGT